TGGCGGTCCCGGGGGCCTCTTGGAGCGTCTTGGGTGCCTCGGGGAGCCTCTCTGGGCCTCTTGGTGGCCCTTTGGGGGCCTCTTGGGGGCCTCTTGCGGCCTCCTGGGCGCTTCTTGGGGCCCTCTTGGGGCTCTCTTGGGGCTCTCTTGGGAGCCCTGTGGAGGGCCTCTTGGGGCTGTCGTGGAGGGTGTCGGTGGCGAAAAGGGGAGAAGGCAACAACGATAGATTTTCCTTTGCTTGTTCATAGTCTTTGGCTTCCCTGGGAGGTCCTTAGGGGTGTCCCAAAGCACCTGGAACCATCTTATCTATCGCACCCTTGGGGCCTCTTGGAGGCATGTTGTTAGCTAGATTGAGCCAAGTAGGGCTATCTTGAGCGATGTCGGAGGCCATATTGGGCTCTCTGATGCAATGTTGGAGCCGTCTCAGGCTATCTTGGACGCCCTGACGCCTCGCAGAACCCACCGTCCAGGTCCAGGGGAGGGGGTAGTGGGAGGGGTTAAGCTACCCACCCGCCCGTAAGCCGTCTAGCTCACTCCCACCCCTCCGAACACATGTTCAGCGGTCGTCTTTGGACGGACAGCTACTGGGAATCAAAGTCGACCCCAGGTGCGCGACCCTCGGGCGAGGTGCGCCATGCGTGCCAGGGGCGCCACGCGCGCCAGGCACCCCTGGGGCCCGAGCTTGCCAGGAACGCCTGGTGCGCCAGATGCGCCACGTGCTCCGAGTGCGCCAGGTGTGCCAGGTGTGCCGCATACTCCAGCCGCGCCAGGTGCGCCACGTTCGGGGCACGTGCAGAGTGCGTCAGGTGCGCCTGCGCACGTGACAGCACACGTCGGGCAACATGTCGGCCCCCACCATCCTTCTCGAAAACAAATGCCCATCATTGTGCCTGGTGGGCCTGCGCACAGCAGGCCACGCGCCACCACCCCCGCCGTCCTTGTCAAAAACCACTTGACAGTGACCGCGGGGTGGCCGCGCATAATCCAGACTTAGCCGCGAGGTGCATGTGGTATTGCTTCCTTGTCAGGGATGGTAGCCCTGCGCACAGCAGGGAATCTGCTGACACCCCCGCCGTCCTTGTCAAAAACAATACAAAGTGCTCGCGGGCCTCACGAACATGACTCAAGAGTTTGCCCCAAAGTGTACGTTGTATCGTGTTTTGACAGGGATGATGGAGGACGCATCGGGTTGGCCGCGAATGCTCCAAATGTGGAGGCAGAGTGCGTTTTGTATTGTTTTTTGACAGGGATGGTGGGGGGGGTCGCATGGGGTCGGCATGGTTCCAGGTTGGCCGCCGGCCAGGTGGGGGAGGGGGTGTATATTTATGGGGAACAGTGATCAAACCTCTTCCCGAAGGGGAAGAAGGGCATTTTGAAAGAGGAAAGAAAGACATCGTTAAACCACCTGCGCCCAGATGACTGGTGGGATTCAAACGTCAAGCGTTGACGGAGTTTTCCAGCGATAGTTCCGTTTTGAAACGGATCTGCCTCCATAGAAGCACTGCGATGTTTCAGTGATTTTTGCCAGAATGTTCGAGGAAGTCTCAAGCGAAAGCCCACTTTCAACACATGAGCCGGCTTTCACCCGTGTAGTTGTGGAATGAAAGTTTTTGGTCGTACATGGGGGAGTCTCAAGCACCCTCTTTTGCGAATGAACCGCATTTCATCCGTGGAGCTGATGTTCCCAAACCAGCTTGTCTATAAGGTTTTGGTGTGTGATAGTTCGAGGGCCCATGAGACAGGTGGCTCATCGTTGCCCCCCATCGCTGCCCGTTCCCCCCCTATCGTTGCTCAGATCGTTGCCCGCCATCCTTGCCCCCCCCGTCGTAAGTGTGTAAAGCTGTGTTAGGCATTCTGCCGCAAGGGTGAGATGACTATAAACATGACTGTGCGCAGTGCCACAGCGAGAGCCCTATATTGAAAAACACTGGACGTTTTCAGACGAGTGTGCGGCGCCAAGTCGAGAGCTCCATTTTACAAAGCCACCCGCTGTGCTCCATATCTGTGTACTGCTAAAAGCTGCAAGCTTCGAGAGCATACACCTGGGGAAAGTCTCATGCGAAACGCCCGGCCGGCTCTGACGACACGTCTGGTGGTGCGGAATGGAGGGGTTGAGGTGGGATGGGGAGAAGGATGAGGAGAAGGAAGATCATCAAGCCGGAAAGGGGAGGGAGGAGGAGAGGAGAAAAAGAGGAGGATGAGGAGGAGGGAAGAGGAGGAGAAAGGGGAGGATCAAGGCGAATAGGGGGAGGAGGAGAAGGGAAGAGGAGGAGGAGGAGGATGGAAGAGGAGGAGGAGGGTGAGGAGGAGAAGAAGGAGGAGGTGGAGGAGGAGGAAGGAGGAAGGAGGAATGAGGAATGAGGAGGAGAAGGAAAAGGAGGAGGAGAAGGAGGAGGAATGAGGAATCAGGATCAGGAGGAGGAGGAGGAGGAGGCCAGCCCTGCGCAAGAGCAGGCGGCGGCCGGTCCTGCCATGCGGGCCACCCCCGCGGCGCGGGCGG